CATGACCCTGAGATCAAGACCTTAGCCAAAATCAAGAATTGGACGCTTAAATGACTGAGCCACCCATGCACCCCTAGATGTAGCTTTTTAAACTACAATTTAAAGTTTGGGGAGGAATTTTTTAATAGCAGATTTAGAGATGGTGTATTTGGGGGATGATGGTATTCTAGATTATAATGACAACTTTTTTGTGTCTATTAGGAATATGGACTAAAAGATTATTATTAATAGCTCAGTACTATGTACTATTAATAGTTTATTTACTATGTGCCAGATACTGTTATAGGTATGGTTCTAAGAGCTGCATAATAATAGCGTATTATCTCACTTAATCATTACAGCAATCCTGTGAGGTGGGGTGGTTTTTTTTTAGTTTTTTTTTTTTTAAGATTTTATTTATTTATTTGACAGACAGAGATCACAAGTAGGCAGAGAGACAGAGGAGGAAGTAGGCACCCCGCGGAGCAGAGATCCCAATGCGGGGCTTGATCCCAGGACCCTGGGATCATGACCCGAGCTGAAGGCAGAGGCTTTAACCAACTGAGCCACCCAGGCACCCCTGAGGTGGGTTTTATGATGATCCTCATTTCACAGATGAGAAACCAAGGTACAGGGAAATTAGGTGACTTGTGCAGGGTCATGTAATTAATAAATGGCAGAGCCGAGACTCAAATCCAGTCTAATACAAAAATTAGTATTCTTGAATCATTATTCTATACTACTTAGAACATGTTTTGAGAAGTTTCAACACTATATAGATACATCAGTAATGCCTGATCAGAAGAGAGCAGTGTGGTCTTCAGGTGGAAATAAGCTTATATAATTTTGAAATGTCTTTAAACCAGCCATAACATGGATTTGTTTAACAGAGAAAACATACAAAGTTAAATCTATATATTATTTATTAAGAAATTGATTTTTGGCTTATTACGGTGAAATTGTTTTTCTTGAGAGGGAAACACAACTTATTGCTGGTACCAGGTTCCCAGACTTTATCATATTAGGCCTTCCTTAATGCTGAGTATTTGAAGAGAACACTGACCTTTTTTGGTTTAAGTGATGAAAAAACTATGTTAAGGAGTCATTTGGTTTAGAGAAAGGATAATAGTAAGTAGCAAGACACTTCGTTCATGTGATGTAGCTATTCATTTTTTTAAATAGGTTTTTTAACAGTAATTATAATTTTACCCACTTGCATGATAAATTATCTTTTGTCATACAACAGGATTTTTTTTTAGTCCATTTAGTGGTTAAAATTTTTTAATTTATAAAAAACTGGATAAAAAGAAGACAGTCATTTTGGTGGCAAACAACTTGTGAATGACTTCCTTTACATGAATGTCTTCGAGTTTTCTATTTTCCTTAAACAAAACAAGATAATTATATATAGCCATCTCAGATGAGCATAATTTGGAGAAATGTCTGTAGCATTGCAGTTGGATTGTCTGTTCAGTAGATGATACCACAGTTGTTTTGGTTTTAAGCCTATTTGTGGCATGAAGAATGTTAAACAGAAACATCTCTATGTGTAAGACAAGTACTTAGTTTTAAATGGAAAACCCCAAGATCTCAGTATGAAAATGCAAGATGAAGGTAGGGATGGTTTGCTAAGTCAATGTGAGGTCTCTTGCCCTTGTGTAGTTTTAAATTTTGTAAAGCAGTTGTAAGAAGGTTAGTAGGAAATTCAATCATGAGAACCTTAGAGGAAAGGTGATTCAGTGGGCAGCCCCCCCCCCCAACTCCCTTCAGCTGCTCCTTTTGCCATTCCCTATTCTGGGAATAAAAAATCAGACAGGTTGCCCTTACATGAGGAAATACTCCTTTAAAAAAGTGTGTCACAGTTACTCCTTATTTCCAGGGAAGTCAAGCAGGAAAGCCTGACTCATCACTAGCAAGTAGCCTTTAAAGCCAGTCCAACACGTTAACTTGTCGATGGCATGGATTTCTTAAGAAGTGAATAAACAGCAAGTGTTCTAAGCCTTAACCCCTCATTAGACGCAACTTTTAAACAAATATCTCATCTTGGCATTCCACTGGAGGCGCAGTATGGCTGTGTGTGTGCGTGTGCGTGTGTGTGTTTGGAAATGAAGAGCCATACTGAAATTACAAAGCAATTCAAGTAGAATTTAGTGACTCAAATTGGAATTTGGCTAGGATTCATGATGGATTATTATTGTCTCTACACTTTGACACTTTTTAACAAAGTGCAGGTGCTCACCCTTGGCTGGTGATTAGACTTACAGCATGAGAAAGAGAGGAATGAGTGTTATCCCAAACATTTACATAGGGTGTTAAATAAAAACTACTAAGGTAAGAAGTTCAGTGCTTTACATAGATAGTAAACTATGCATATTATTTTATTTATAACCCCGTGTGTTAAGGTGGGACACTGTTAAAGTAACAATCACTTAAAAAACAACAACCAACAAACCAGTATTTAATTTGGTACTTAAGAGTAATAATTAAAAATCAAATGGAAGCAACGCCTAAAGTAACTAATTCACAATAAAACCATTAATTCAGGCTCTACTTATTAGAAATAAGATCATTCAACATGGGCTAACCTAAAATGTACCTGTAGAGACAGAACAAGGGTACAAGTTAGCAAAGTATTAGAAATGAGATTTCAGGGAGCCCCTAAGATTATTTTTAAGAACTTCAGAACTGATTATATGCAAAAAATATAATTACGTTTCTTTTAAGTTCATTCATACATGACCTTATTTGAAGCAGTGTATTTGCATTGACTAGCAAAAGTCATGTCAGTAAGATATTTTTGAAGTATTTTATTTCCCAGCTACTTGACTACTTTGAACGAGTTGTTCCAGTGATTAGTCTTAATTTCTGCTGAAATTTAAATCTTTAATGAAGACGTGCTTCTGAAAATAAGGCAGTTTTTCTACAATCTGCTCATGAATAGAAAACAAATCTTTGGTTTTTTGTTAGGGTGGCAGGAAGGATTGAGTGCAAAAAGAAATACTAAGGAATCAAAGCAATGAAGAGGCTCTTAATAAGCAATGGGAAACTCCAAACCCCATCAAGGTCAATAGAGTACCTAAGGCACCTCAGGTTCAGATGATACAATCATCTTTGCTTAGAGTTCTAATAGTCTATATACAGGGTTTTTACCATCTTAAGAATGTGCAGCTGAAAAGGTAATGTCAACAATGAATATTGTGACTAAGAAAGAAGAGAATCATAAGAGTTGATAAATGGGAGAGATGTTGGAGGTCCTCTTCTACCTCCCATGTTTATTATAGATGAAGAAACTGAGGCCCAGGCAGGAAACAGTGACACCAGAGTTTGTTCCCAGATTCCTTGTCCACTTCTCTTAGGGCAGATCAAATTCTAGACTTTAACTTTAATTGGCTAGTAAACCAAATATGAAAAGTTTCAGAAGTGAATTTGAAGAAGAAAAAAAATAATCCCCATCAAATCCCCAAAGGCGAGGTGGAAATGTATAATACTTTACTGTCTTAATTCCTTTATACCATGTGTTGGTCAACATAGTTAATACACTGATTTATGCAATTCCTTTCAGTTGTATCTAAAAATAGTTAATAATTAATCGACCCAAATTAAATGAGAAAGTTACATAAAGATTCTGTTTGAGCACACATAAGGCCATGGTACTTAATATGAACCATCACTTTGGGAGAAGGAAGACGTCCACTGGATGTCCAGTTCAGAGAGAAAGATCCTGACTAGTTACCCAGTAGACTCTTCACTCTTCAATGGGGAAGATGATGCTTATATTTTTAAAAATCTCTACAAAGCTCACATACAAGACAGTACATCCTAGATTTGTGACTGATATGAGCGTTTAAGGCTGTCATTTTCAAGTATAAAAGTTTAGTGTTCCATTACCCAATCTGTGCAGTAGACACAGCTATTAGCTCAAGTCATGGAAATTAACAGAAGCTCACCAAAGGCATAAATAAATCATAGCTTAGTCAACAGCAAGTTTAAGTGGAGGAAAGGCTGGAGAAGAATGTATGGGTTAGATTATGCTTCTCTGAACTGCATTAATTTGTTCACACTAAAACTTTGTCTAACACTATTGTCTGTTGCGTGGCATTTGGAACAAGGCAGATCCATAGCAGACCAAACGAGGAAGCATAATTAGGTTACAGAACTAGTAATTAAGATGGTTCACCTCTAACACAATTCTGCAGCCTGATTCCCCAGAGAAAGATTAGAAAAGGCTCCAGTATACCAAATAAGCCTCACAGGTGAACATAAATTTTTTTTTTTTTTTTTTTTTTTTTTTTTTAGCAGGGCCTTTCACCTAGGGACTAGCATGCACTGCTTGTGGAGGAAAGAAATCAACATTATTTATTTCTGGCTTGCTTGATCTAATATTGCAAAATGTAATATGGCTGGACAAAATGGGTATTTAGAAGCCAGTATTGCATTTAACTGACACTTTTAGGTAGGTACGTTAAGTTGTAGTTCTAGAACTTCTGCTATGGTTCCAATACCTGTGTCTGAAAGGTAACATCAGTATTATTACGGAAGCAGTTGCTTTGTTACAAATTCCATATAACATGCTCAAATTCTAGGTCTCTTTTCTTTAGCACTATTTAAAGTTTCTTGTAGTTTGGTCAGCATACACACATCTCATGTCATCTGATTACATAAGCCAAGGTGGAAAATAAAAGACAAAATTGCCAACTACTTCAGAGAGCTATATCAAGTCCAGGATTATGACAAAGTGAGACCCAGAATTTTAATTTGTAATTTTAGGTTGTATCTCATGCAGTTTGGGGAGCATCAAACTAAGTCTACAGTCGCCAGAAGCCTTGTTACAGTCAAATGTACATTAACTAGAATGTGTACATTTTTAGTGTTCATGATAAATGCAGTTATGACCTTATTACACTTTTGGCATTCTTTAAGAAAGCACATTAAGCTTTAATATAGAAATATTTAGGTTACACTTGTGCTCAAGTTATAATAAAACAGTTATTCTTTTTTGATCTCATACATTCTCTCCTCAGGTATGGCCCATCTCCTGTACGCTTGGAGCGACCTTTGGCTACGTGGCTGGCCTTGTGATTTCACCACTCTGGATATACTGGAATAGAAAGCAACTTACATACAAGAACAATTAATTGGAGCAAAGGGAGAAGATATTTCTTTGTGCAGATTCCATAAAGACTGTGCAGAAATGTTTATGGTCTAAGCCAGGCAGTTCCATTTACAGCACTGTTTTTTTATGTAGTTACAACATGGTGTGATTGTAGCTTTTTAAACTATGAAACCCCTGAGAGATTGTACCTTCTAGTTGAAATAAAGTATTTATAATAGATTGTGGCTTCAGATGCTGTTTGCTGCTTCTTGGACCTTTAAGAAACATTCTTAAGGTTTTTTTTTTTTCCTTTCAAGTTTTAAACTGCTTCATTATTTATAAGAGGTCTGGGTATAGTTGTAGCATTTCATATGCTTTTTAAGAGAAATGGACAGTTTCCTTGGCCACTGAAGATGTTTCTCACGTAATCAAACAACAGTTTATACATCTTGATCCTATTCTTTTTTTTACTGTGTGTTTCTTTGGAGTTAAAATGGCTATGATAGCCTCATCAAAAACAGTCTTCAATCCCTTCTGGGTTAAAGCCGAACATTCCACATAGCAGCATGCTCCTATCTGGGAGACAAAGAAATCACAAACATATAAAATCTTTTTTACACAGTTGGTATGACACAACACACCATTATAAGGAAAATGAGAAAATAACAGCTATGCAGAAGGAATGAAATCATCATCCATATTCATAAAAACCCAGAGACTGCCAACTAAAAGGTAAGTGTATATTCTTCCACACTTACTCTATGAAAATTGATGTCATTCATCACGTATTTACTGGTTACCTACCATATGCCAAGCACTGTTTTAGGTGCTAGAGATAATGTCAGAGAACTGAACAAAAGACCAAAATGCTTGCTGTGTGATGCTTACACATGCTTAAATTCTCCTGGGGGAGGGGCCCACCAAGGGAACCGAGGGCAGATGGTATGGTGCACTTCGGAGCACCGGCGCGGGGGAGATGGGGCGTGCACAGGACACAGGTGGGAAGCTTCCCAACAAAGTGGTGTGAGCAGTGAGGGCCACGTCCAGGCGGACGGAGCCACCACTGGGAAGACGGTGATGTGGGAGCATGAGTGGAGCGTTCAGAGGATGCTAAGGAAGCCAGAAGGGCAGGAGAGAGGGAGCAGCAGAGATTGGTAAGCGGTGAGGCTGGCTGATGAGGCAGCCCTGAGGCCGGGAATAAGGACTTTGGCTTCTCCTCTAGGAGAGGCTCCGTTTGTTCACTGGAAATTCACTGCACATTCTTATTTGCCAAATGAAAGCATACAGCAAGGAACAAAATAAGTCTCTCAGACTCACAACGCTTACATTTTAGAGGGAGAAGGACCACCACGAGCTACTAGAGTTTGAATGTCAGAAGGGAATACGTGGTCTGGAGACAACTGGGGAAGGAAGGTGGATAGGGAGTGGGGACAAGATCAGGCAAGGCCTCACTGAGAAGGTGACACCTGAGCAGAGTCCTGGAAGGAGTGAGAAAATAGTGTTCCATAGGGAAGAACACTCCAGGCAGAGGGAGGGGCAAAAGTACAAAGACCCCAGGTCCGAGATCTGGGGATGCAGCAAGAAGGCCATGTGCCTAGACTACAGTCAGTGAGGTGCACACAGCCGGGGTCTGTAGGCCTCTGTGACTAGCTGGGGAGCCACTGCAAGGTTGTGAGCAGAGCAGTGACCTGATCGAGCTTGTATTTTTGACTCACTCAGGCTGCTGTGTTGAGAACAGGTGGACACGGGGTCACAGACAGAAGCAGAAAGGTGAGTCAGAGCTGTTCCGGTAATCCGGGCTAGAGACGAAGGGGCCTGACCAGACTGTTCGAGGAGCGGATGGTGAGGGGCCTGTGGACGCTGGATGGATTCCGAAGGTAGGACAAGAGCTTTGGCTGCCTGGTTGCCCACACAGGAGGAGAGCGAGAGCTAAGTCGAGTGTGACCTCAAGGTTTTTTGAGCTGAGTAACTGGGAGGATGGGCACAGAGGATAAAATTAGGAATTCTGTTTTGGACATGTTAATTTTTAGATGCTTAGCCACCCAGATGGATTTGTTGGGTGAACAGCTGGATAACTGAGTCTGGAGTTCAGGGAAACGGTCAGGCTGGAGATGGGACTTGGGAATCTTCGGGGGCAGACTTTTCAAACCACAAGACTGACAGCAGCTCACCTGGGCCTAGGGAGGGTGGGTGCAGAAGAAGAGATGTTACAGAAGCCGTGTGCTGATCCCTGGGCATCCAGCATGCAGAGACAGGGACTTGAGACATGGAGGAAAGGCCACTGCCGGGGGCAAACCCCAGGAGAGGGCAAGCAAGGGAGCCAGGTAAAAGTATTTGAAGAAGAAGCCCACTGCCCCAATGCTGCCAACGGGCCTTCAGGGGGGATCCTAGTGTTTTGCAACCATTTTTTCCCCCTTAAACTACATAATATAAACATCACAATAGCTATTAGTATAAATTTTTAATAGATGAATGGGCTTTTTTTTTTTCCGTTATAAACAATGCAGCAACTTCATAACCATCTCTTTAAGCACATCTGTAATAGTTTTTTTTTTTAAGATAAATTCCTACATATGGAATTGCCTGATCAAAAGTGTGCATGATTTTAGGCTTCTGCATATTGGCTATCAATGACCAATGATACAAGAGAGTGTCCTGCACCCTGGAACAGTTGCTATTATAATTAACTTCTCTCTCTCTTTTTTTTTTTTTTTGCCAATTTTATAGGCAGAAATTGAACTCACATTTGACTACTAAGGACTATGAACAGATTTCCTATATTCAATGGCAATCTTTTTGACAAATTTTCCACTGATGGTATAGCCCATTTTTCTACTGGAGCATAGATGTCTTTTTCTGATTAATTTATATGTAAGGAACTCCTGTATACTATTAACCCATTTTTCAGCCATTATGTGTCACATTTGTTTTATGACTTTAAATTTTATCTCTGGTATTTGATGTATCAAATTTTTAAGTAGTTAAATCACCAATATTTTCATTTACCAGTTTTACTCTATGACATTTTAGAAATTCCTTCTCTCCCAGGGATTATGAAATTAAATACACGGAATTTCTAAAGCAATGTGTCAGCGAAGCTATTTGTCTTTTGTTTTAGGAAAAACTATCCTCCAAAAAGTTTTCTCGCTTTCTTCCGCCTCCTGATAGTACATTTTAAAAGACCTTATTAGATTCTGTTTCCACAAAAGTCCTATTAAAGTCATATCGAAAAACACTGAATCCAATAATGTTAGGGCCAAAGAGAAAAGTAAGCCTAGCTTCAGGGTGAAGGAAAATAGAAGTTACAAGTTTTAGGCACATCACAGTGGTATATTTTCCAGAATGCTAATATTTTCTATCTTTCATAAAAGGACTGGAAGAAAATTCAACACATTTCCTTTCAAGCCTAGCCATCATTTTTTTGTTTTTAACTACAGATTTAAACTCATCCTATATGCCATTCCACCATCTTCTCCGTGGGTCTTCACCGAAGACGGAGTCTGCTCTGGCACAGTATAAACGTTTAAAAGATTTAAATGGCCTTTCTTTGATGCCTCTTTCTACAGGTAACTTACGAGGAAAATATTGTTGGCAGTGTCGTGCAGGTGTGAGCGCCTGGACTCTGTGGTCAGGCCTTCCCTGCAACCCAGTTCTACCATTTATTACATATGGGACCTGACAAATTATCTGACGTCGCCAACCCCCCCATTTGTCACAGACCCACCCGAGCAGGTGCAAGGATTAAATGACATAATGCATGTAACAGCACTTAGCACAGTGCCCGGTATACAGTAAATGCACAATAAATGTTAGTTTCAATTATCACCCAAGCTGCTTTTACACTTATTTTTACATTCTGTAAAGGTTCTGTTACCTCTTTTGCTAGTTTCTGTCCTTGTTCCACACAAATGGGTTTTTCTTTCATGTCATTCAGTCTTGCTAAAGTTTTGGGGTCATCTCGGAGATCAATCTAATCAAGAAAGGTCAATAATGTCCCATAATGTTACAAGTCTTTAAAGATCAATCAAAGCGTGTAGTCCCATTTAATCCCACATACCCAAAAAAGATCAAACAGATGAACTTCACTTTGAAAGCCAACTGGTATGATTGCTTTCCTTGGGCACTGCTTTTCCAAATTCTTATTTTTCTATAATAAGTAGAATTTATTCTAACTTGCAACCGAGATTAAACATGCACATCGTTTGCTAAACCTTAGGACTATTTGTCTCAAAGCGACACCACAAGAGAGGCCAAAGAGACTATTCTTAAATGGGTAAAATCAAAGCAGACATACCTGAGTTCCTATTAATAAGAAGGGTACATTTGGTGCATATTCCTTAAGTTCCGGTACCCACTCCTCTTTCACATTTTGAAATGAGGCTGGATTTACCACAGAGAAGCATATAAGGAAGACATCAGTCATTGGGTAAGATAAAGGCCTCAGACGATCATAGTCTTCCTAAAGAAGAGAGAAAAACCTCATTATTCCCATCTCTTTAGTTGACTAATAATAGGTATGTAAGGTTACATGGTTGGAGAAGCAAAGTCAGAATTCCTCAAACAGAATGTGTGGCACTCTACACTAAACAAGGTAATTCCATTTGTGTTTGTTACTCTTCCTTTTGAGGTTACCAGTGGGGTAAGAATATGACAACACCATTAGCAACCACAGGGGAACTTGGAGAAAATACACCGTGATTACTAAGGCCATTGCTAAAAACATTTTAAACTGAGATGTTTGCACCAAGAATTGATTAAAGCTGGAAGTTGTCTGACTCTTCTAATTTATAATGACTAACAGATGCTGAATGTTTACTGTGTGTCGGGTCGTGATCCAGAACGCTCTCCCCTGCATTCCTTAGTTCATCCTCCTGACAGCTACATGACGTAAGTACTGTTATTCCTGTTTTCCGCGGAAGGAAAAGGAGGCATAGAAGTTAAATAACCTGTGTAAGAGTGTACAGCCAGTGGAGAGCAGACGGGATTCAAACCCTGACAGTCTTAATCCAGAACCTACACCTTAACCACTACACACTTCCCAGAGACCTCAAATTGCTGTCTTCCCTGTTGATATGGTTTTCTTAATTACACATGCGTGCAAGTTTAAAGATAGAAACATAAAAAGTAAATGCACAAAAATCCCCCTTTCCTCTTCAATTTCCATTCTCTTCCCCAAATGTAGATCTTACCAGGCATACCTTTCCAGTTCTTTTTCTATGCATGTATAAACCTCCGACTGTGCATATTCAGACATTTGTACATAGAAGATATCAAGTGATCTGTGCTGTTCTGCACCCCTCAGTACTTTCCAAAGCTCCCCTCAGAGCTTTCCAAACGAGAATACGTTAGACTATCTAATTTTATATTTTTAAAAAGATTTATTTAGTCATTTTAAGGGGGAGGGGCAAAGGGAGAGGGTGAGAGAGAAGCAGACTCCCCCCTGAGTGCAGAGCCCGACTGGGGGCTCGATCTCACGACCCTGAGATGATGACCTCAGCTGAAACCAAGAGTCGGACATTTCACCGACTGAGCCACCCAGGTGCCCTGCATTACTACATAATTTTAAACTGCTGCTTTGAATTCCAGTCCTATCAATGGCTGTTTCAAGATCTTACCCTCACAAAAGGCAGAAGATTCTATTTTGCTTAGACTAACACTTGTTGTGACCCCAAATATTCCGGTTATTTCCATTCTGGCAAGTGAATAGTCAGGACTCCATTTTTGTCGTGGTTAGAGTCTCCTCTGGTTTCAGGGAAGCTTTATTCTTCGCCCTGGCCTCCACGCCTTCATGGCTAAAATGGCAAGAACGCGGAGCTGAAGGAGTATTCAAAACACCTTCCTCGGGGCGCCTGGGTGGCTCAGTGGGTTAAAGCCTCTGCCTTCGGCTCAGGTCATGATCCCAGGGTCCTGGGATCAAGCCCCGTATCGGGCTCTCTGCTCAGTGGGGAGCCTGCTTCCACCTCTCTCTCTCTGCCTGCCTCTCGGCCTACTTGTGATCTCTGTCTGTCAAATAAATAAATAAAATCTTAAAAAAAAAAAAAAAAAAAACACCTTCTGCTCCGCGTTCAGCTGTAGCATTTCCCTCATGGGACAACTTTCCCTTCACGTCATCTTACGACATTTTTCTTTTCTTTTTTAAAGACTTTATTTAAGAGAGCGAGAGCATGAGTGGGCTGAGAAGCAGAGGGAGAGGGAGAAGCAGACTCCCCGAAGAACAGGGAGCCCAACGTGGGGCTTGATCCGGAGACCCTGAGATCATGACCTGAGCCAAAGGCAGAGGCTTACCCAAACCATCCAGGTACCAACGCCCCTCCCCACCCCAGCATTTTTTTTTAATAGAATGTTCAACGTGAGTGTAGTCAAGTCTCAAACTTGACTTGGGAGTTAACCCTTCTGTTTTCCTGTGATGCTTTCAAAAAGCATACCGCCAGTCTGGAGCCGGGTACAGTGGAAGGTTTCTCCGGTGCTGGCTAATACAGGACAAGAGGGGAAATGCCATCCGCAAACTTCTTTACCCTTTATTTTTAAAACGGAGGCCCTCTAACTGGGTTTGAAGAAAGCAGTGCTCTGGCATTAAGAATGGCGTTAATTGAAGAAATCAGGTAGCATGGGGGGTAGAACAATTTGTACCCCAGCCAGTTACTTCAAGATACTCTGAAAAAACTAAACGCGTTTTTACAATTTAGTGTGAGTGTTACCTGGTAGGATGGGTCCACGGACTAAACAGTGGCCATGAGGGGAAGCAGGGACAGCACGGATCTTAGCATTCCACCTGGCAGCTCCTGAGCAAACGTGTGCTCAGCATGGTCAGGCAGTGGACAGGTGGATGCTGTTGTTAAAAATCTCTCTGCATCCCTACGGACTTAGCTGATTTTCACAGAATGAGAAATGAGGATACTATCTCATAGGATTCTGAGGGATAAAAATCATGCAACAAAAGCATTCGGCCTCTGCCAGGCACATGTGGGGACTCTGTCAAGTGCTTTAACATAAATCATTCATCCCACGGGAAACCGATTCTCCTTTTCCTCTGCTAATCCACGCAGGGTCCCCTCCGTCTCACATCAGGGCTGGCTTCACAGCACTCTCCCACCGCAGAGAAGAAACTCCTGTGAGAAATAACATTTTCTCCACTGGCATCAAAATACACCAATCAAACTGAGGTCTCTAGAGGACAGTATAATTCTCAGATCAATGAAAGAGAATGCTATATTATCATTGTACTAATTAGTCATTTTAGAACTCAAGAGCCTGAGGACTATTTAAAATGTAAGAAAAGAAAAGAGAAAAAAGGAAAGAAAGAAAGGGAGAGAGAGGAAGGAAGGAAGGAAACCAGATTTTTTAATGAAAATTTTACTTTTCAAGCAAA